CCACTCTATCTTAGCAAGTACAAGGCATGGAAACTTGTTTTGTCAAAAAATCACATGTTTAACTTAAACATGTAAATTTGAATTATGATCAACTAGAGCACTCAAAACTTGTTGCTTATAAATAGACACTATTTGTGAGATAGAGGACGAGCTTAAGCACCCTGAAATACACCAAAACTCTCTCAAATCAGAAATTTTCCAAAAACTTCATTGTTGCACAGTTTCTGACCTTGAACATCAAACTCACATTTCCCTCGTGCGTTTCTTGGCCTTTTAGTTTCTAAAGCTTCCTTACATCAAGTGTAACCTATCCCTATCCCTGTTTCATTACTGTAACATCATTTACCATATCCTCCATAACCAAAAACAGAGCATTGCACATTGACTTCTCCAAGTCATTTCAGCCACTCTCAACTCAAGCAAATCATTGCATTAGCTTCCTAGGACCTCAAGGAAGCTAACCTGATCATCACCATCACTTGAAACAAGCTCAAACTCCAAACACGATTTCCAGTTTTGAGGTAAGTTTTCTCAACTTGGAACTCTTCATACAGGCATCATCAATAGTTTATTTGTGAACAAAACATGTAGATATCATTGCCCTGAAGCTAACCATGTCTATAATTTCCATTAATTTTGCTTGAGCTTAGAGAATTTTGGAACTGAAATTTTTGAAATTTTTAGGGTTCAGATTAGGACCATTAAAATTCATGCTTATCTTTGATCTATAGTTTTAATACTTTTCATTTCTGGAATCTTGAGAAAATTTGCTACAAGTTTCATGTTTACAGTTTTCATTTTTGATGAGAAATGAGCAAGTTACAGTTGGTCTGCCTGGAGGTTGAAAATGAAGTCTTCAGGGCGTGTTTTGCCTTGTATATTTATTGTTTTTCTTATATTAACGGATGTATAGCCACCCCAGTGGTAGAAACGCGCGCCTATAACCTTTGGAACCTGGGTTCGAGCCCCAGTGGTACCCTTTTGCATTTTTCACACATTTTGGCATTTCTGACCTTTTTTGAACGTCTGGGCCTTTATTAGGCTTGCTTTGTTTCTTTATTTTTTTATTGACTAACCCCCTTGCAGGCTCTTGGCACCCCTGGCCCAAGTTTATTTATTTGTTTATTTATTTCATTTTTATTTCCTTAAATATATTTTTTCTAAATACTAAAAATCATAAAATACAAAAAAATAATAGATTTATATCTTGACTTATTTTATTTTATTTTTTTCACAAAAAAAATATATTTATTTATTATACTTTATTTATTTTATTAACTAATCTTGTAAACTTAATTAATATTATGTTTTTATTTATTTATTTTTCACACCATTAAAAATACATTATTTTCAATATTAAAGAAGGCCAAAAATATTTTATAATACTATAAATCTTTTTAAGATAAAAATACCAAAAAATACTTTTCATAAACTTATTTTCTTTTGATTAATTAATAGAACTAGGGTTTTACTTAAAATATTTTCTTAATAAAATTCAAATTATAATTAATTATTTTCTTTACTTAATTAGGTTAAGACAAAATCCCTTTTTCATGAAAATCAAACAAAGATACATTTTCTATACATTTTTGCATTTTTTGTACATTCATTCATTTTGTACTTTGTATTTATTTATTTCCTTGTACATCAATATCAATTCAATATGGTTGTAATAGACTAATTAGGCTTTAAATTCTTGCAATCCCCATTCAATTTGTACACCCCCCTTCCCCACAAATGTTGTAATAGCATAGTAACTTTAAATTTCGCAATTTATCGTTTTTATATAACATGCTAGTAATTAGAGTTTGAATGGAAAGACTAAAACCAATACTTAGAAAAACCTAATTCAAGACAAAAACAAGCATGAAAACAATACACTTGCACACAAGCATCCCTAGGGTTATTCCACTTGGTTTCCTTATACAAAATGGTCATATTACGCATGTAAGGTATCTTAGCAAAAATAAGCAAATACAAGATCATGGTCCCTCGATGATGTTATCTAAGTTGCCTTACAAATGATCTTAGTCCCTCAAAAAGAATGCTAAGATACCTTGCAACATTGCTAATCATGGTTATACGATGACTCACGCCCGTCCCATTTACATCCAAAGATAGAGTTGCTTACCAAATCAATGGTAAAACAACAATGTCAAATAAAAAGAAAATGAACAAGAAAGACATTTGAGTAGGTAGATTGCTCATAATTACTTGCTCCATTTCAAAACAAACATCCTTGTTATTTTTAAAAATAATCACCTACACTTTCAAACATCTTACAAACTCGAAAACATTTTCAAAAGATCAACATCTTTGTATACATTCTTACAAATAAGAATCATTATAAAGATTGCCTAAACAATTGCCTCTTTACAAAACACTTTCAAAAACCACACCAAGCATAATTTCAAACAAAAAGCAAGTGATCTAGCAAGTAACTAAGAGCCCGTGGAAAACCATGGATGAAAAGGGTGCTAATACCTTCCCTTTTCATAATCTATCCCACGAACTCAAGAAACAATCTCAAAGGTCTTTCCTGTGCTTTTTCACATTTCCTTTTGGATAAAAGAAAAGTCGGTGGTGACTCTTGCTAACCGCAACATTTACGATCAAACGCAAAACCCTCAAGTCAGTTCTCCCACCGTATCACAAAATAACAAATGGTATCATGAGCCTTTGGTTCAAGTAAAGGGACCGGCTTACTTGTATCAAAATATCCAGGAAGAGGTGTCCCGTTGAAAATGAAACCCAGGAAGAAGTGTATCGAAATTCCCAGGAAGAGATGTCAATGGCGGTATAAGTGTATGTAGGCAAAAAAAGAGTTTCCACTTGAGAGGGAGCATTATGTACTCACACTTGAGGGAGCCTCTTGAGAATAATAAGTCAAGTGTGAGTTAGAGTCCCACATTGGTTATAAATGTGGAGACTTGTGCATTTATAAGTGGGAGAATTTACATACCTATCACCTTAAAATTTTTGGTGAGTATGCGGTATCTCTCTCACTCATGTGTTGCACTTGGCTAATATTAAATACTCCTCATCATGAGATAACATGGTTAAATATAATTTTTTATTAAATATATAGAATGTAAAAATAGTTTTAAAAGGTGGCACTCTACCTATTTGAACTCAGCTAGATAAAAATAACTTATAGTTGATAAGTTAGGTAATAACTTATAATTAATGACAAACAAAAGATCGCTTATAGTTGATAGGTAGTTGATAATTGATAAATTAATTAAATAATTTGATAAATTAACAGTTTTAGTAGTTGATAAATATAAAATAAATTAAAATAAATTAATTAATAATTTTATGATTATGAATATATTATCTTTAATATATTATTATTAAATTAATTTTTATTTAAAATTAAACATATGTAAACAATTTTAAATAGGATTGAATATGTTTTTAGTCCTTATAAATAAATGAATTTCAATTTTAGTCCTTATAAAATTTTTTTTCAAATAATGATCTTTTTAAAAATTTTCATCCATAATTTTGGTCTCTGCCGTCTAATTGCTCTAACGAAAGTTGACATGACACTTCGTTGCAAAAAAAATATGTTAAATTGCAGGGGTTGCAAACCTCCCTAAAAAAGTGTTTTATAGTGCAAACGCCCAAACCAATAACCATAGTCATGACTGTCGTTTTCACTCCCGTCGAGTAGTGTTTGTAGGAAAGGATCCATTCCATCACACAAGATGATGCTTTTATAAGTTTATGTTTTTATTTCGTTTATACATCCATCTCTTAATAGTAGATGAATCAACTTACTTTTTGTAATTGAGTCTCAAAGTGATGAAGATCTTAATATTTCGACAGTTGAATCCATAATCCATGTTCTTGCATAAAGCATACCCTGAAACTATCACCATTCAGACACAAATATCCCTCACTGGCATGTCATCAAACAAACTCTTTGCATGTTCCACTTTTCCATATTTTGCATAAGCATCTACAATTGAAGTGGAAACACGCTCCTATCTTGTTTCATCATCCCCCAATTTAACCTACCCAAAAAGCATATTATTCCAAGAATACAAATTTCTAACCTCCATTTTGCCGAATACCTTGCACGCATGAACATAATTACCACAACAGAAGTACATATGAATCAAATGGTTGAAAATAAGTGAGGTGGGATGTTTAAAACCTGTAAGCTTCAAATGAAGGTGAATACCCTCATAATAAGAATTAGTGTCGGAGCAACGGTGTAAGAGATTGACGAGATTTGTGTTTGAATTTGTTTAACTTAAATTTGAGTTATTCTTTTACTTCTTTGTCACACTATATACATGTAAAATTAAATAAAATGTATTCAACGTATATATGTAAGTTTTATCGGTGGAAGACAGATGACAGAGTATGAATGAATAATAATATAAAGCGAAGTTGAAATCGACAAAAGAAGATAATGGAGAAAGATGGAGTGAAAATGACAGAGAAAAATAATAGAGAAAAATAATAGAGAAAAATTATAGTAAGAGATTCATAAAAAATTTCAGATACAAAATTTAATTCTTTTTATTAATATATGTAAAACATAATTTTTTAATTATAATAAGTTGTAAAAAAATAAAAAATAAATTCTAGTTAAAATATTAAGAATAAAAATAGAAAAAAATAATAAATTATAAATTTAAAAGTTCTATGAATACAATACATTCCTATAAAGTAGTAATTGAAACCTACAAAAAAAAAAAAAAACTCTTATTTTATTACTCATGACTATGAAATTGAAATTATGTCAAATATAAGTGTCTGTTTGGATCCGCTTTTACAATCTCTTTCTCGCGTTCCAATGCATATTCCAACGTAATTTTCAGAAGCAGCGCCAAGTACTAGCTTTCACGTTGATGCAGTGTCATAACGTGATTTTGCTAAACGTGTTGTTTTTCCAAACATATACTAAGTATATGTGTACAGTAAGAAAAAAAAACAGTGTTAAAATACATTTAAATTCTCCTTCTTTTCAATGTTCACATGTTAAATTAACAAAATGGTGGAACCACGGAAGTATGCTCGTAGCAAAACGGAGCGGCGGGGTGCTGCCACTTTTTGAAAACTACTTTTTTCGTCTCTGCGATCTGCCGTCTCTGCTGCTGCTGATTCGGTTTGAGCTCCTCTCTTAGCGGCAGTTGTTGATGTGGCGGTGACGAAACCACCGGCGACAGAAGGGGAATCGCGACGTTCCAATCGACGGTACGGTTGATCTGAAGTGACGACGGAGCGCGGCTTTGCAATCGATTCGGCTGACGGTGATTGACAGCGGCGGGACGGTTTCTGTTTATCTGAGTGTCTGCCATGTGTGTGTGGTGACTGACGGTGGCGTTGGTGTTAACGGCGAAGAGAGAGAAAGTGACGTTCGCTGTGAATGAAATAGAGATGTAGTGAGAGAAAATGAAATGGTGAATGTCAGGGGTTGTTATATAAATAGACCAAAGGGGCGTGCGGTGCACACGTTCGGAATCTGAAATGTGTAAAGCTGGCTCGGCTCAGCTCGGCTCGGATGAACGGCTTTGAAATACAATCTGATTATGGCTCGGCTCAATGTCCCTAGACCTTTTCCATTTTGATATCATTTATTACGATGATGTTGCCAAATAAATTAAAACTAATTTAGAAAATTTTTTAATTGAAGGATAAAATTAATTTTAGATTTTTTAAATTTCTGGAAAAAATATTTTCACACATTTTTTTTATTTTTGGAAAAAAAAGTCTAATTTCAGAATTTTTCGTTTAAAAAAAATAGGCTTAAATGCAGTTTTGACCCCCCTAGTTTAAGGTTTTTGGAGTTTCGATCCCCTAGTTTAAAAGTCAGGTTTCTAGTCCCCAAAGTTTTCAAATTTGGGATTTTTGAAGCTCCTCCATCTGGCTGCCCAAAAAGTGACATGACACAGGGGAAGTAATGCTACGTTTTTTTTTTTTTAAAACATTTTTTTTTCCTTTCGAAACTTAATTTTGTTCATGAGGAGAAGAAAAATTTTTTTTTTTAAAAATAAAAAATAAAAAAAAAATAATAATAATAATACGTGTCATTACTCTCCCTGTGCCATGTCACTTTTTGGGCAGCCACAGATGGAGGGGGTTTCAAAAATCCCAAATTTGAAAACTTTGGGGACTAGAAACCTGACTTTTAAACTAGGTGGATCGAAACTCCAAAAACCTTAAATTAGGGGGTCAAAACTGCATTTAAGCCAAAAAAATATTTTCAGTTCTTTTTTATTTTTTGAAAAAAAATTAATTTTAAATATATATTTTCAAAAAAAAATTAGTTTCAGATATTTTTAAAGTTTTGGGAAAAAATTAATTTCAAAAAAAGTAAATTCTGAAAAAAGATGTTTTTTTCCTAAATAATTATTTTTCTTATTTTCGAAAACAAATTTTTTTAATTTTCATGAAATTTTTTTCTCAATAATATTTTTAAAACAATTACTTAACTGTTTAAACTTATTCTTAATTTAGATTTGATTAACTCGATTGATTATAATATCGAATTCATCGTATTAACCACTGAAATTGTTTAAACTTTTAAATTTAGTGGAATTCAATTTGAATATACGACTCAATTAACGATATTTGTGCACACCCTTAACAAAAAAAAACAATCAGTAGCAATAATTTTTATTTTATTTATAATTTAAATTTGATAACTTTTATTTGTATTATCCATTCACTATTTTTAAATAATCTAATGTATTCCTTCAATCCTTTTCTTTAAAAAAATATGTAGAGTGTTTTAAATATCAGATTAAATTGACAAGTTGGATTAGAAATAAAATATGTATTTAACGTAATAATAAGGATTAAATTGACCTGAACAATTGAATTAGACTTTTCACGTATTTTACAAATTAAAGTAGATGTTTTTTTGAGGGAAATCATAACCCTTTGAAAGCTCGAAAATACCAAAGAAGATGTAAATTATTTTTATAGTGGCTCTCTGCATATAATGTGAGAAGGTAACTTCGGCCACCTGCATGCTAAAAGGAGTTGCTAAAGCATGGTAGGATGGAGTTAAAGCATACATGATCTCGGTCCATACGACGTTGGACTTGGAGCACTTTCAAAAGAATTTCTTTGATAAGTATTTTTCTAGTAGTTATAAAATCTAGAAAGAACAGTGATTCTATGTATTGTGCAATTATGTATGTGATTTTGATGATGACAAATGTCATATATGTCGATAATATATGTCAATATAGTTTTGATGATGTCAACACTATGTTTTTGATGATGATAGCTGAATAATTAGAGAAAATAAATCTCTCAAACAAACAAACAACGAAGTCAACACCGAATATTTATTTATCTCGTCGAAGAGAAATGAAAACAATGAAGAAAATCTGAAAAGGATGAAATCAAGGTCTTGCGACCAAGAGAACGGGTAAGAAAATCGATTATGCAAGAGGAATGTATTAGCACCCCTCACGTCTGTGGTACTCCACGGAATCCACTTTTGTTGTCTAATCTAAAAGGTGTGTTTGAAATTTAAAAGCTAAGCTGTAAAGGGAATGCATTGATGCAAAGGATTATGTACAAAAAGAAAAGGTTTTATTAGTCGTGTCTGCCTCGGTTGCGAACATTTGTGCATACGTACCACCGTCCGTGCAATGGGGATCAAAGCACTTGTAGTTCACCTCAAAAGTTTTGGTTTGTTGCATGTCTTTTATGGATAATGTCATGTTCGCATCCTTACGGTTAGGATTGCAATTCGTGCAAAGTGATTCATTCTCGGCCCCTCGCACACTTAACATTTCCAAGTTGTTCGAATTTGAAACAACAAATTCTTATCGAAAAGGTTTTAAAGAAAAAAGTCTGAAGGCAAAAAGGTTTGCATTGGTTGGTATTTTTTACCTTGAAAATGGGTTTAATAATATTAGAGTGTTTTGAAGTTTGAACAAAGAAAAAGAGAGTTTTAGTTTTAAGAATGCAAAAGGGGAATGAAAAAGTCTAAGGGACACTAACAATCCTAGTGTTGTCATACAATGGTGGTCCTAAGATTTGGATAACAAAAAGAAACATCTACCTAAGTTAGTATGCATGGATTACGATCCTAATGTCTAATTTGAATCGAGAACGAAACAAGTGATCCTAAGGGAACATGCAAAATTCTAAAGGGAAAAGCACAAACACAAGCACAATCGAACAAAGTCGAAACAAAAACCAAAACAAAGATCAAGTGCGAGATAGCAATAAACAATGAATCCAATGGATTTCAAAGTGGGAGTAAGGAATTCTTTCCACTTGATTTGCTCAAACACATATATCGAGTAACAACTCGAAGCATCAACGTTTAAAGAAACGTGAGCTAACATCGTCAAAACGAATGACAAAATATGGGGGTTGGTTACGAACCATTTTCCATTTTATTTGACTCAATGGACAAGAATAAGCACGGTTCAAAGCATCAGCGTATAACGTTAGCTAAGAACGACACGGACTAGAAAGTGTGGGGCCGATTGCGAGCTCTTTGTTCCACTTATTAACTCGATAGAAAGCACAGAGTAAAAGGGGGGGGAATTGCCCTCTTTGAGGACTTTAGTAAAATTGTCTCTTTTTGAGGTATTTAAACAAACACAAACATTTTCTCTTTTGAGGACTTTAAACAAGCACAAACATTGTCTCCTTTGAGAACTTTAAACATAATTTCCCACCTAAAGTAGGGACTCTCAGTCATTCATCTCTATTCCTACTTCTCATGGCAAGGAAAGTGAAAAGATAATATGGAACATAAACAGAATCAGAAACATTACCAAACAAACAATAAGTTTGTAGCAAAGTGATATCAAAGCAAAAAAAGCCTGGCGGTCTTCGTGCAAGCTTCACCAAGCAAAAGAGAAATAATCAAAAAAGATATGCAATATAAGAATTAAGACACTGTTGTGTGAGAATAAATCACATGCGAGAAACACATCGCATCAAGATAATTTCTCTGCACAAAACAATTTTTCCCAAGCACAACATAATCCGCAAATCGCACATCACACGAATACTCATTTGGAAGCTTGCACAAACTCACCAAACAAGTTAGCAATAACAAGGAAGCATAAGCATAGCTCGAGCATCAAGTCACAACTCAAAAATGACATTGAATTGCAAAGAAATCAAATCCAAATAAACATCAGAACATGGAAATTAAAAACCAGACAACAACATCACCATCTCATGAACCGAGTAAAAAGTCGATCTAAAATCATCAAATCTTAATGCAAATTCCAAACAAGTATCAAAGCAAGCTTACTTATGTATTAATCAACAATTAAATCGCACATTTATGCATACTTACTGTAAAACGGTGGGAAAACTGACTTGGGTGTTTTGCGTTTGATCGCAATTGTTGCAGATAGCAAGAGTCGCCACCGACTTTTCTTTTATCCAATAAGGAAAGGTTGAAAAGAACAGGAAAGACCTTTCGAGATTATTTCTTGAATTCGGGGGGTAGGTTATGAAAAGGGAAGGTATTAGCACCCTTTTCATATGTAGTTATCTACGGGCTCTTAGTTGCTTGCTAGATCACTTGCTTTTGTTTGAAAATGTGCTTGTGGTGTGGATTTTGAAAGTATTTTGAAAACGTCTTTGTAATGGTTCTCGTTTCTATAAGAACGCGTACAAAGTGTTGGTTTTGAAAATAGTTCAAAGAGGTGTTTGTGGAGTGTTTTTTTTTTAAGTGATTTTTAAAAGTGACTTTGTAATGATTCTCGTTTCTATAAGAATGCGTACAAAGAGCTTTGTCTTTTGAAAGTGTTGGTGTAAAAATGTTTTTGTTGTGAGAAAGCGAGCAACTATGAGCGTAATACCTACTCAAAAGGTCTAACGTTCTTTTCCTCATCTTTTAGATGTTGCTATCTTATCATTGATTTGGTAAGAATCCCCATCGTTGGATGTGAAGGGACGGGCATGGGTCATTTGTAAAGTCATAGAAGGCAACCTATGGGACGTTTTAGCAATATCGTTTAGGTACTAGATTGTTTACCGAAGGCAACATTGAGGGTCATCGAGGGACTATGATCTTTTATCAAGGGTCTTTGCTAAAACGCTCATATTCGAGGGACATGACTATTTTTCCTAGGCAACAAGTGAGATTATCCTAGAGGTGCATGTATGAATAGTGTGTTTGATTGCATGCATTTTGTCTTTGAATTTTAGGTTGTCTGCTTGTTGGTTTTTATCTTGTCATACATCCTAATTACTAACATTTGTACAAAAGCAATAAAAATGCAAAAAAAATAAATCCTACACTATTACAACCATATTGAATAGCAAGAAAATATAAAGACAAAACAAAATAAAAGGAGGAAAAAAT